TGGCGGTCAGTTTCAGCAGCGGCTGAATCTGGACGCCAGTTCCGACTTACATACAGATTCAACTTAAGAACAAACCTACAGTCCCTATCTTGTACGTAACCTGGGGACTGCCTGTACTCATGGAGAAACTCCATGAGCCTAGAACTTAATTACAAAGAAAAGCCAAAACATCTTTTAAAAAAGTACACAGACAGCAGATCCCATACCCAAACCATAAAACAATGAAACCTAACGGATTTATCTAAACTTTACCCTACCTACAAAAAGTGAAGAAAAAGTCTTTACTTGGAGGAAGACATCGTGTCTGTCCCCCTCAATAGCTGTAGAGAACTGCCCAGAACAAAGGAGGGAAAAAACAAAAATTCCTTTGTCCCAGTTTGAAATTCCTACCTACGTTCCTATTGGCCACTCTACCTGGCTAGGTGTAGTTAACCTCTTAGTCCCCAGGCTGCGGACTAACCCTCATGATCATGACAGGTGGGAATCTAATTTCCCCTTTTGCTTTACTATAAAACTTTTACCTGCGACACAATATCATGAAGTAGGATGGTGTAGTCAAATTCTAAGTAATCATCGTTTCTTTTCTGGAACCAACATAAAAGACAAAAGACAATAAGGACTGAGGTTTGTTATCTTTTCATTAATAAAAACAGTAATTCGGTTATAATTGGCAGCAATACAATATTCAAAATATTGTAAGAGTAATGAATAAAACAGATAAAACTTAGTTTTGCTGTATGCCATAAGGATGTTCCGTATTGTGTAATTGACTAATCAAAATAGTCAATGTCTTTTTGCATCGACTATTTGATTAGTCAGTAGGGTGGCACTGCCTCTTTGAAACACTGCTGTGGCATTTCAAAGTGGCAGCAGTGCTGCATGAAGCCTGGGGTCAGCTGGGGAGTCCCCAGCTGATCCCGGGCTCCACTCGGCACTGCCCCTTTGAAACACTGCTGCAGTGTTTCAAAACGGCAATGCCGCATAGAGCCCGGGTTCCAAATGGTGCTGCCCCTTTGAAATGCCTGACACTGGGCTCCCCACAGCATTTCAAAGCGGCAGCGCCGCATGGAGCCCAGGGTCAGTCCCCAGCTGACCCCAGGCTCCAAGTTGCACTGCCCCTTTGAAATGCCATGGCAGCGTTTCGAAGTGGCAGGGTGCACGGAGCCTGGGATCAGTTGGGGAGTCCCCAGCTGATTCCATGCTTCACATGGTGTTGCCACTTTGAAGTATGCCCCTTTTCTTCTCCCCGCTTGTTGCCTCTGATAGAGGCAGCAAGGGGGTGGGGAAGCGACTAGTCGACTGTCTGATAAGCATTTGCTTATCGGATAGTCAACTCGTCCTTAGCATTCCTAGTATTCTGCATTCATTTAACCACAGAATAGCATCTGCGAGGCTGAACACAAAGTTTAACTCCACACTGATTGCTCAAACAGCTTTGTTTACAGTGTCAGATATGACTAATGCAATCTTGTGTTTCAAGAGAAATACTGAGTTTATTTTCCAAAACAACTTAAGTTTTTGGTGTTGACTCATTTTCCATTTTCTTATGTTACTATAGAGATGCTTTGCTTTGTCTGTGTGTGCAGATTTTTGAGACTGAATAATCTGGGCAAAGAAGCTGAGTAGAGCAACTAATAATTTTAAAAAACCCAGAGTTACTTTGGAATGATAAACAGCAGAAGCTTTTCCATATTTTAGAGAAAACAAATCTTTGGAAAGCTAGAGGCAGCATTCAGTTGGATCAGTTAGTCCTCCAACCATTGGTATTGCCACTCATAATACTATCTAGGGTGTGAGAACACTATGCCAGATGGAATCCCATAGAAGTTAGTATTATGAGTGGCAATAAAGAAAAACTATCTAGGGTGTGAGAACACTATGCCAGATGAAATCCCATAGAAGTTAGTTTTTCTTTCTCTTGGTACTAAATAATATTACATAAGAACAGCCATACTGGGTCAGACCAAAGATCCATCTATCCCAGTATCCTGTCTTCTGACAGTGGCCAATCTCAGATGCCCCAGAGGGAGTGAACAGAATAGGGAGTCTTCAAGTAATCCCTCTTCCATCACCCATTCCTGGCCTCTGAGGGTATGTCTATACTACAGCACTAATTCAAACTAACTTAATTGGAATTAGTTAACTCGAACTAAGCTAATTTGAATTAGTGCATCTAGACCTAAAAACTAGTTCTAATTAGCATTTTGCTAATTCGAACTAGCATGTCCACATTGAGTGGACCCTGAACCGAGGTTAAGGATGGCTGGAAGCAGTGCCGGCAGGGCATCAGATTAGGACTTAGAGCGTGGAGCTACTGTCTCAGGCTAGCCGAGGGCTGTGCATAAAGGGTCCCGACTCCCACCCCGGACAGACAGTTCTCAGGGTGCCCCGCTTGCAAAGCAGTCCTGGCTTGGAGTGCCCTGAGTGCCCACACTCGGCACATCACAGCACTCAGCCATCAGCCCGGCTGCACTTGCCGCAGGC